CATTACTGCAATATAGACGGCAGAATTTGGACCTCACTGCCCTGTGAGAATAGGAGCGTAGGCTGACCTAAGCCGAAGAAGGCTAAGCTGACTCTCAGACTGCTCTGGCGAAGCGCTGCACTAAAACAAATATGCTTCAGAGGCCACACAGATAGTTTTAAGGTTGCCTTTATTGACAAAGAAATTTAAAAAAAAAAGGATTTCCTAAGATTTTTCAAAGATTAGGAATGGAAATGTATAGTTCATGCAACAATAAACTCAGGTCTAATTATGAGATTAGGAAAGAGCATTAATCTACTTATTCTGAAACAATAAGAAATCAGCTCCCTAACATTTTATAAATACTGCTTAGGGTACAAAATTGATCAGTCGTTAAGTAGTTATAAAGAAAGCAACTATTAATAGAGTTCAGGGCGAGAGGTGCCCACGGATGGGTTTCTGACCAAAGTGCTATCATAAGATGAGCTGGTTATGTAACTTGGTTTCACATTACCGTTTCTCTCAATACATCTTCCCCATCCCATCCAGTACTGAAACAAAGTAGAAACTGGAATCTAAGCCATAGGGCCTTATTTAGGCCAAATCATCAGGCAGTAACATGGAAAGGCAGGCAAACAGTCTCGTAGGTGTCATGAAATAGCAGCCTCTTCATGTGGGGCAGGCTGACAGTCACACGGAGTTTTACACTTTCCTGGGCTAATATCAACACCTGGGAATACTGAGTCCTAAAACACTAGAGCTATCAGATTAGAATGGAATTAAGATGTTTGTACAAGAAAATGTGTTAAACGTTTTATTTTTATTTTTTAGTAATTTTAACTACATAAGTAACACATAAGTGCAAAAAAATGCGTAATACAAAAAGTTTTAACATTACAAATAAAATCAACATACCTGTTGACCCACATCTCCAAATCTAATTCCTTCTTTGGAGGTGGCCACCATTATCAGTCTAAAGTGTATCTTTCCAGTTTTTTTCTATACAATTAAATGCATCTGTTGGCCATTAGAAAGTATATTTTATGTTGCTGTTTATAAATATTTAAGATGAGTGTGCCTATTGTTCTGCAACTTGCTTTGGTCACTTAAGAATATCTTGTTAACCTTTTCATGTCAGTAAATACATTTTTTGAATGATATATTATGTACCCATCAGTATTCTAAGCATTCGTATATCTTTTAACGCATTTAATCCTCATAAAAAATGCAATTATTATGCTATTATTCCCATTTTGCAGTAGAGGATTCTGAGGGACAGAGAGTTTAGGTAAATTGCCCAATTTAGTGGCACAGCCACTGTTCCAGGTCCTATTCAGGGAAGACTAACTCCAGGTCTACTCCCATGAACTATTGTACACGCCCCTATAAACCTACCTCCGAATGCTCTATGTATGAACCCAAAGCCCCGAGGGCCCGTCTTTTATGAACTTGCAGCGACTGAATGATACACAGTGCTCAAGTTTAAAAGTGTCACTGAGCGTCTCATTGCGCTCCGCATTTCAGTTGATAATAGCACGAGCCGGGCAGAGTGATGGCGTAAGGTCTGACTGTTTTTGCGGAGAATAACGCACATAGGATCCCATTATTATGCTGCTCCATTCCCCGCCTTCCCTTGCTGCCTATATCTGATCCGTGGGCAGCATTCCACTTACGTCAAAAATAACGTCAATCTAGTGAAAAAAAACTGAATGACTCATAGCATTACTTTAGGGAACTGATCTCTGTGTAATGTGATATATAACATCCTAATTTCACAGAACGTTTTTCATAACAACTGCTGAAATCATATTCAAATCCATTAAATTCTTTGAAAGGATCCAATTTGCAGCAATAATGAAACTATTCTTAAGATGCAGGTACATTGAGGTGGAGTCCAGACCACTCAAAACTTCTCTGTCATTAGCTACTTTATATCTTTTCTGTATTTGTCTGTCTATACTTATTGATTCACTTGAGTCTGCTCTTCTTTTGTATTTCTAGCTGAATTTGAGTCAGAGAGAGGCTCTTTCAGAAACTGAAGGGTCTGAAAGAAAGAATAGTGGAGAAAGGAAAAGGAACTTTTCCTCTGGTTCTTATGGGCAGCAGAGCAAGATACCCCGCAAAGAAGGGGGAGAGGAAGAACCCAGAGTCTTGGGTTTATAAGAGCCTTGTTACACCATTGATTACAGCCTCTGTGGGGAGTGAATAGCAGTGAGGGAACCTAGCCACCTAAGGCGTTACATGCAGTAGCACGAGAGCTAGTTGGATTTCTCCTGCCACATCACCATCCACAAAACTGACAGCTAAATATTTTTATGTGAGAATTTTATTTCTTGGATAAATATAAAGCCAAATGAAATCCCTCATTTCTATTGTTTCTTTGTTTGTGTTTGTTTTTGTTTGTTTTTTTCTGGTGCTGTATACTTCTGGGAATTTGCAGTTAGCCCTTGACATGTGTTTTTGTTTGGAACATAAAGTAAGACTAACTAGGGGATTCGAGGAAGGCAGATTACTTGTGAAGTTTACTTTCAGACTTGAGAGTAACCTTCTAAAAGGGGAGGATAGGCTTCTGAGGAGTGAACTCTATCCAGTCTCTTCCACAGAGTAAACAAGTTACTAACCTTTCTCTATCTGACAAAAAAGGGTGGGCTAGAATCCCTACACTTCTTTAGAATTATGAGTCTGATTCTTATGTGACACGCTAGAAAAAGATGCTTCTAGTGTAGTGTAGTGTAGTAAACAGATCAACTCTTCTGGTTACCCAGCAGCCTAAGTCCTGTGCACATTTTCCTCCTATTTCACAAATCTCCTCTGATAGTCCTAAAGGGGCCGTTACTTGCCATGTCTTCTGTACGGCATTTTTTCTAAGTTCCATCTGGTATTAAGGGCCGTTGAAGTGGAAGTTCTCAGCTACATTCCATTTTTCCAGTTTTTTACTTAAAAAATTTTTTTTCTCAGGATGGAATATAAATTACTGATTTGTAATCCATGAGTCACTACTAATAAGTGGCCCTGAGGTCTTTGTTTTCAGACATTCAGAAATTGTTAAGGGGATGTGATGTGTTGTTGGCCACTTGGATAATGGATGTAAAGCACTGCTTTTCAGATTCCAGCTAATTTCATCTTTAATAGACTTAGTTCCATGTGACTTTCCCCTAGTCAGTGCTAGCTGATATTAAAGCAAATATACCAGATTGCCATTTTGGGGTTGACTGACATGAGTACCAGGCAAATGAATTACTGAAGAGTAATGGAGCCAGAAGTCCCAGAATAAATTCTCTGTACTCTTAACCCTACTGATAAGTAGTTCTCCTGTTCCCTCATTTTATTTGTTCAGTACCTAGAGACAGGGTAGCTGTTGCAATCCTGTTGGGTGCTATGCTGGATTTGCTGGGGCCGGGATTTTATTGCAAAAGTAGCCATATTTACAAAAGTAGAATGAGCTTCCGCCTTAGTTTTTTTTTTGTCACCAGATAACCAAAGCTGTTATTAAACCAACCAAATAAGAAATCATCTGATAAGTCATTTTTTGTTTCATTTTCAACACTTTTTTTATGCTCTCTTAACACATACATGGAAGAATAATAATAATATTTCATACGTAGCTTGTTGAAGTGAATTTGCTAGACCTAGTGTCTTTCCTAGACAGCTCATCAACTACATAGATGAGGGCAAGTTACTCAAGTTGTCTGAGTTTCAGAAGAGGAAACAGAATACTTGGCCACTTTGTCTTTTGGAACTGTCCTGAGGCACACATGAGATGGTGTATGTAACAGTGCTTTGTGTTATAGACGTACAATCCAGATACAAAATAGGTAAGCTACAAAACGTGTGTGTACGGCATTATATCTCATTATATTATTGCTTTCATCTATTTGGTGCTTTCACATTTTATATGTAAACAAGAACTTGTAAGGTTGATTCTCTTGCAGTTATCACAATTAATGAACTTTTAATGGATAGCTACAGGTTTAGATTTTATTGGAAGGAGGAAATTAAACTGATCAAGGAGTTGTTTTTTTTTTCCTCCACTGACGTAAAAAATGAAGAGACTACTAAATGGACAATATTTAGCTGTCCTTTATATATACCTGAATAGTCTAACTTTTCTTAATATTTACTTTAATTTTAAATACAGGAAATGAAAAGTCAAAACCTCCTGTAAATATTTTCATTCAATGGATGTACCTCATAGGGAAAAAATATGTTTATTTGTTAGAACTATCTGCCAGTGCTAAGTTCCGTAAATAAGAGAGGTATAACCTGAGGTGTTTTCTTGTTTTGATTTTATAATAAATATATTTGGAGAACACTTTCATATTACTACTATGAAAAGGAATTTCCCACGGGAATGCTACTATAAGAAATTGTTTTATTTTATTAATTTCAGTATATATTAATTTTTGCAACTTATCTGTTTGCTTATTTTTAATAAGTTAAATCCAGGAGCACTTAATTATTAATTCCTTAAATATTCTGACTTCATTTAATGACTGCCACTGTGAAAAGGTAAAAGTAAAAGGATAAAAAAAGCTTACTGGTAAATGTTGCTATAGAAAATTTATGCTGATGGTCACCTTTTATTACCCACACGTGACCTGGCACCTGACTTTTATAGGTTTTTATCCTTGGTTTCTAAGATCTTTCAACTTTGATATACCATCCTCTTGTCTGTTTGTTCATCCAACACTCCAGCATGCATACACATAAATAAATACAAATCAGTGCTTTTTATAATTATGTTGTAGGAAGGTTTTTTGCTCTTTGAATGTTATATTTTTGTTGTTGCCTTGGTCATCTTTACTGTAGTTTTTTTTTTCCCCTTGGGATTTGTACATCTTTCCCAGATCAACCCAATCTTTGTTAACTATGGGATATCAGACAGGCCATCATAGTTGTCACCAGTTTCTTGCCTGGTGTTACTGATAACCTTGAGATTTTGTTATCTGTGTCTGCAGCCTCTTTGGTGGTCATCTCCAAATGTTTGTCGCCCTGAGTATTTTGCAATATTCTTTTCTTAGACTTCAATGAAGCAGTCCCAGAGACAGAGCGCCTGGATTCAAAAGCACTGAAAACCCGAGCCCAGCTCTCCGTGAAGAACAGACGCCAGAGGCCCTCCAGGACGAGACTCTATGATAGTGTCAGTTCAACAGATGGGGAGGACAGCCTCGAGCGAAAGGTGAGCATCCTGGATCGTTTTCTGAGTTACAGTGTTGGGCTGTGTCCTCGTTCCTACAGCTGATGGAAGACAGTGATTTTTCTGCACCCAGAACCTATGCCCTAGTTGGAAACAGCTGGAATAGTTCACTTCTTTGTCTCTGAAATTCTTAACTCAACCTGATATGTTCTTGTAATTCCAATTCTTTCTGTATCCATTCAGTGAACTAACCAAGAGCATTCTTTGTATTGTCATATTTCATGATGCTACTTTTTCTATTCAGCTGTTCGTATTACCTAGAGGGAAATAAGGAATGTACAAGTAACTGTTTCTGTATGTCTTAGGTATCTGTGTTAGTTACAACGGTAATAGGGTGAGTTGTGAACTGTGCAGTCCCGTCTGTAAACCAACAAACAAAAATTGCCTTTCATGGGGATTTACTAAAAAAGCTTGGTCCGATTTCTAAGTAAGTATTACATGGAAGTGGTGCTCAGTGGCATAACCTCCTTTATAATTTCTCATACCAACAGCCTGCAGACAGTTTTTATAACCACATGCATGTTACCAAATCACTTCTGCCCAAGGGTTCGAGAACTTCTTCTCCAGAGTCAGATTCTGGTGCTCCATCCCTCACTTCCGTGGCTGGCACCGTGCCCTTCTCGTCTGACCACATAGCTGAACTTCAAGGGTCACTGCACCCAGACAGGGAACCGTCATCCTCTATTTGGGGGGACACTTCCCTCTCCTCCCCTTCAAAATCTGATCATGATATGGAAGACTCTCCTTGCCACGATCAAGCCGCCACCAAGAAAACATCACAAGATAAAGGTACTGTTAATTTTTTTTTTTGGTTTTTCTTTTGTTTTGTCTGATTTCACAAACACCTCGATTTGTGCAATATAAAAATGGCTTTTTTCCTCATAATCATAAGTCCTTTTTCTTCTCACAGCTAATAATAAATATTGTGTCCCTTTTATGTTATGGGATAAGAGAACACCCCCTTCCATTTACTTTATTTTAATTTTTTTTATCTTTTCTTACCTGGTTAGTATTTTTACTTCTTCAGTTCTCCATAAATGTACTATTGAAGAAAATTCTTCAGGAGGCCTTGTAGAGATTTTGTAGAATAGCAGCCCAGAGTTTTAATAAGCACTACATAGTCACATAGAAATATATGGATACATATAGATATAGATACGAAGATGAAAGTGATAATAGGTCTTAACCTATTAATTGGTTTTTATTTAGAAGAAATTTTCACAATGATATATAGTGCAAAGTATATGATAGAAGCGCTATGATAAAGATAATGTAAGGAGATTAATCGATTAAATTTTAAAAGTCTTCTACAATTAACGCCTGAATTGCATAGCAGTGTCAAGAGACTTTTGTATTTTTAATATAGTATGTTTTAATTTATAAAAGTAATAATTCTTGTTTTAACAAGTTAAATGATACAGAGATTTATAAAGAATAAGTTCATTCTCTTCCACCACATCTGATGTGTTCCTTTAAAGTAACCAAATAGACTGGCTTATACAGTTGACCCTGGAAAAGTGCAGGGCTAGGAGTGCTGACTTCTCACGAAGTCAAAAATCCACGTATTAACTTTTGAATCCCCAAAACTGAACTACAGTTGTCTCTGCATATCCATGGGAGATTGGTTCCAGGACCCCCCATGAATACCAAAATTAATGGATGCTCAAGTCCGTTATATACAACGGTGCGTAACAAGGCATACAGTTGGGCCTCTGCATGCATGGATTCCCAACCGCAGATCAAAAACACTGTTTTCAATCCATGGTTGGTTGACTCCTTGGATGCAAAACCAGAAGATACAGAAGGGTGACTGTATATTTATTGAAAACAATCTGCATGTAAGTGGACCCATGCAGTTCAAACCCTTGATGTTTAAGGGTCAGCTGTATTATCTTTCACATCTGAAATGTGTCTGTGTATATATGTGTGTGTGTGCACACATACTTTTTGGTGTTTGTGTTTTATATACTATTTTTACAATAATGAATTCTACAAATGACATCACTCCACAATTTTGTTTTATACTTAATATTTATGGACATCCATATAGGGCAATATATAAACATTTAAATGACAAGATAATCTTCTGTAGTGAGCCTATAATATAACTTAGGCAACCATGACAGTGTTGATGGACATTTAGGATATATCCTAGGGGAGTTGTTTTTGTTTATTTACTTGTTTGCTTACCACTGTGAAAAACAGATATAACAAGCATCCCTGAGCTTTACATTTTTATATGCTAATGCTTTTATTTTTATAGAATAAATTTTCAAAAGTTGAATTGGTAGTGAGAGTATATTGTACTGAGTGGAAAATGTATTGCTTTAAATGTTTTTATTGTTAAAAACAAATACTGAAAATATTCAAAATAATAGGAAAAGAACAGCCAAAAACCAAAAAATAGAAAGGAGAGGATAATGAAGATATAAGCTAAATTTAATGAATTTTTGTTGAAATGAAAAGCCTAGTCTTAACTCCTCCTCTCTTCCCCTCCCCTCCCCTCAAAAATGCAATAAAAATGTATAAATTGATACAGTTAAAAATGAATAGCCCCTTGGAAGGACGGGTTAAGGAGGAAAAAAAGAGAGAAAAAACCCCACATAATCAAAAAATTAAAAAGGAGATACAGAGATTAAAATTTTTTTTTAAAAGACAGGATGCCAACTCTATGGTAGTAGATTTGAAACTCTACAGGAAATGAAGGATTTTCTATCAAAATATAAAGTACTCAGGTTGATCTAAGATAAGAAGAAGAAAACCTGGATAAACCAATAATCACAGATATGAAATGTATTTTTATAGCTTTCATTTAGAAAGGCACTAGGCCCAGGTGGTTTTATAACTGAATTCTGTCTGACCTATAAAAAAAATAAAAATAGAGGGATGGTCAGTTAGCTCAGTTGGCTAGAGTATGGTGTGATAACACCAAGGTTGCCAGTTCGATCTCCACATGGGTCACTGTGAGCTGCGCCCTCCTTAAAATAAAAAATTTTTTTAAAAAGACAAAATTCTACACTTGTCTACTAAGAATCATGTACAAGAGTATTCATAACAGCCTTGTTGTGTAAAATAGCATGACCTGGAAACAACCAAAAACTGGGAATTAAAATAATCACCAGTAGAATAGATAACAAATTGCAGTATATTCCTATGATGAATCTGTACAGGATGGGAAATGAATAAACCACACTGAAACGTAACCGCGGGAGCGAACCGTGGGAACAAGACATCAAGAGAATAAAGCAAATTACAGATGAATACATATGATTCTATTTATATAGAGTTAAATGAAACTAGCAGGTTATTTGGAGATACAAACAAAATGTTGAGGTTATGAATGGGAATGAAAAAGTTAATTACTTGGGGGGCAGTGTCAGGGAACAGAAATGGGGAAGAACACACTGGGAACTTCAGAAGCATACACAACAGCGCGGGTTGGTGGACAAATGAAATGGGTGTTCGTTCCGTTGTTTCTTCTTTATATGCTGCAACTATTTTATAAGTACTCTTGATTTCATTAGACAACAAACATAAAAAAGGACCACATATACAAAGTTAATTGATAGATTTTATCTCTAATATACAAGTAGCTTCAAAGAATGTTTTTAAAGTCAAAAATAGGGTAAGGAAGTGAACTGTCAGTTCACTGAGGAGAAAATCTGCCTTACGTATAAAATATGAAAAGATGATCAGCCTTATGAATGATCAAAGTAATGATCATTTAAATAAGATACCCATCAAGTTGCCAAAACTTTTACATTCCACCCACCCACACCAGCAGCGTGTGGGACACGTGTCTACATTGCCTGTATGATCGATTGTCCATCACCACGTTTTTGAGAAGTCCATACTCATTTATCTCTACCAGATCAAAAATTATAATCTTTCTACAAATACAGAGGGTGCCAAAAAAATTTGTACACATTTTAAGAAAGGAAAAAACTGTATTAAAATTGTAATACTCAATATATACCAATAACAAAAGATGAATCTAAGTCATGTGTATACATTTTTTTGGCACCCACAGGATATGGCGAACATAGAAATACAGTTTTTTTGTGGGGGCTCAATTTGTTTTGAAACTCTTGGTAAGCATCATAGCTTTGTTTCTGATATTTCCCCTGGTTTCCTTTCCTTTCCTGAGCCTGTCAATTGCTAGAATGATTTTCCACAGACTGAGCCTAAACACAGATCTTCTAGAAGTTTTGAGGTAAAAATGAAGTACTTAGCGAGGACAAAATACCAGTGGAGATAAAAGAAGACAGGTCAAGCCCACTAATTCATCGAAAGTGGTTGTCAAGTTGGTGAAGGACTTGCACTGTGATTTTGGCCTACTCCCAAAAGAATGAAAGGCTTCAAACTCTCATTAATTAACCTAAATTGTGGGTCATAATAGACCTTCTATATAAATATGCTTGTGTCAAGCCCTCTATCATCTCTTCAGGAAAAGCATGTATAGACCTTCATTGGTCCATAAGAAAGCAAAACAGCAGAGGCATTAGAGCTATAAGTTAATACTTTGTGGTCCACTGAGTTTCCCAGGCATAACTAGCTGTAGTATCACAGGGAGTGGATCACTCACACATGCAGTCTGACCCAAAGATTTTTAAAATGGCTAACTCTTGTCTAGATTATTTGTCTCTGCCTTTTAGTTCTAATGTATTTATGAATCTTCTGAAGTCAGCAGATGTTTCCTCTCAGCCTGGAGAAGTATTACATGGATGTGAATGGTGCTTTGCAGTCCATTAGCAGTAATGTACAGTAAAATGCGATTAGCAGTAATTAGCAGGATTATTCTTTTCCCCAATGCCTCCCTTGTTTGCTACTGCAGCTTCGTTGGGGTGAAGCTCTCAGCTGGAGTAACCAGAACCAAGAGGTAGGGGGAGAGTAGTTTCTTCTCCAGAGAACAAGTGCTTGAGCATTCCCATTTTCGATTTTCCTGGGCTATTCGTACTTCTGGGTAACTGAGAAGCAACCGTTAATTGAGGTTTGTTTTTTCTTTAATTTACATAATTATTTTTCCTTTTTAAAATGAAATTTATTGTGATGACAATGGTTAGTAAAGTTACATAGGTTTCAGGTGTACAATCCTGTAACACATCATCTGTATATCACATTGTGCGCTCACCACCCAGAGTCAGTGCTCCTTCCATCACCATGTATTTGATTTTATAAGGCACTGATTTCATAAATATTCAGTTACTAGTGTGATAACCATTGTTAGGTATTAACTGTGACCAGATGAAAGCAGTGCCTCACATTTTTCTTTCCCATGATGAAAGTTTCCAGCCTTGAAGAAGCGTTTTCTATGCCTTCCATGTTCATTGACATTAATGTATTCACTCCTGTAGTCAGTCAACATGTAGTTATTGAGCACCTACTCTGTGTCAGGCACTGTGCTCAAGGCTGAATATACAATGAAAGAATTCTTCCTTTCCCTCAAGGAGTTTGCTAGCTAGTCTGTCTACCTCCTTCTTCTCTTTCTCCTTCTCTCCTCTCCCCTCTCTCTTCCTCTCTCTCATTTATTGCTTGCGTGTTTGTTTTGTGACACACCTTGTCTCTGACACTCTACAACCGCCACCATCAACAACTAGAGAGGCCCTATACTTTCTTGCCTTCCATGCTCAGGCTCTGATGTACCTTCTCTCACTTTGTGTATGATAATTGCTCTAGTTGTCAAGTGTGAGCAAGGGTTTTCTCATTCACCTTGTTCATCTTTGTATTCTTGTCTCCAGCAAAAATATAAAGGATGTCAAGGAGACCTGTCAGCCAACTGACTCTCAGAAAGTAGTCCATTACTAGTCAGTGCCTTGAGAGTCAAGACTCCAGACCTTAGTTTTCAGAAATTCAGTAATACTTGTACATCCTGATTTAAGCAAGTTCAGAGTGACCTATTCGTGCTGTTCAAACTTAGAAAACACTGATTTCTAAACCCGAATACTAATTTTCTGAATTACTTTGGGAGGTACAGCTGACATAATAATCAACATCATTGATTTGTTTCGTTCTATCTCTCCTAGTTGGTAGGTTCATAAATCAGAAAGTTGCTCGGTGAGCATAAAATCAGAATAAAGTTAACTGTGTATTTGGGGTATGCTCATTAGACTGGGCTGACTGATGAATTGCTTGTTCATTGCAGCACCAGCACTGCTACAGCTCTCTCATGTCCTTCAACGACTCTTTCTGCCCAGTTCCCAAGGTGGACCTCAGTATCATTAAATCATTAGGAAAATCCCATGCTTTCATTTTTATGACATTGTAGGGGCTGATACAACATAGATTAACAGTAGGAACTAACTTCATTATCCTGAAAAGTCCAAATTGGAGAATAACATTCTGTAGCATCCTTGAGTTCCTTGCTGTATAAGATTAATCTGCTATATAGACCTACACTCAACAGAGATTAAATATGGTTAACCTGATTTCCCTGTGTGTGTGTGTGTGTGTGTGTGTGTGTGTGTGTGTGTGTGTGGTTCTCACAACTCATTAGCTCCTCAGTAAAGGAACTGTCATGGAGTTCAGTAATACAAGTACAAACTAGACTTCATGTTACATTCTTATCTAACACTCCACTGTAGGACATTTCTGGTCCTTCTTCAGAGCCCAGCTTAAATCTCACCACCTTTTATGGACACTAAGTATACCCTCCCCATTCCCAGAGGGAGTGAATTATTTTCTTCTCTCTGATCCCACAGAAATTTACACACTGTTACTTCTGCTTCCATCACTTGTGTATGATAATAAATGATCTAGTTTTCAAGTGTGAGCCAAAGTTTTCTCGTTCATATTTGTATTCTCAGTTCCCAGCAGAGAGTAGAGCATATAATTGATGCATAATAAGTTTCTTGGATAAATTAATAAGTGTTGTAATTTTACTAACCATTGTCACCCCAATAAATGTAATTTAAAAAATTAATGTCCAAGAGACAATTACTAAGTGTGTCTCTCCAGATAACCAACGCCGGTCTTCTAGAACCGAGGTCATCGAACCCAGTCCGGCCTCCACCTGTTTTTGTGGATAAAATCTTATTGGAACACAGCCACACTCAGTCAGTTACGTACTGTCTGATTTCATGCTGCAATAACAGAGTTGAATAGTTGTGACAGAGATAAGAACCCACAAACCTAAAATTTTTACTATCTGGCCCTTTACAGAAAAAGATTGCTGACCCCTGGTTTAGACGTATATTTCCTTCCACTCAGCATTGCTGGATAAACTCTGAAAATGTCTTAGTCATTGGTTGCCATTTATCTGGATTTTTTAAAAAAGTAATATACCATGAATTTTGGTCTATCAAGTTACTACAAAGGTAGTCATTAAGTTATAGCTGTATTTGATTGTAACGCTGAGGCTAACACCCTGTTATTATCAAACACCTCATTCAAGTTGGGTGTTTTCTAAATCATGTCAATACTGCATTCATAAATCAACATTTTGTCTCCATATTTGTGGGACCTCAGTGGACACTAGGTGAGGCGGAGTCCCATTATAATTGGTTAAATAATAGACATCTAACTCCATTTCAGTTAAAATTAGCAGAAGTAAAAGTTAATTTCTAGAGGTTTGTAAAACAGGTTATATGACAGTAGAGGGCTTGAACGTCTTTCCCACATGCCTGTTCTTTGAGTAGCCTAATACTAAAGTTTTGGTCTATAGACTTATGTAGCAAAGGACCTCTGTTCAGACAAGGTTAAGGAGTGTAAATTAAGTGCTTTGAGCTTTCTACTCATGATTTTTAAGAGATTATCATTCTGATTTTATGTATGTGTAGCTATTAGAACATTGCCTGACACAGAACATGCCTTTAAAAATATTTCTTGAATTAATGTCCTGGCAGGAAGAAATATTTACAGGATTCATATATTATTAATATATTGCATTAGGCCTTTATACATATAGAAATAGTAAATGTTATCATTGCTTAGAGGAGGATTTAAATACCTTAGATACCTTACCTTACTAGGAAACCACAAGATGTCTGAGCAGAGGAACAAAAAGGAAAAGACACTAGGTATGGGAAAGATGAGTGAGGAGATGATAACCTCTCAGGAGGAGCAATAGACAATGTCAGGACAAAATGATACAAGAACATTTGAAACAGAAGTTGTCTAGATACAGGGAGAAGACAGTGAAGAGGTCAAAACCCATCACAGGGTTTTTAAGCCTCAGAAAATATGGTCTTGTCATTAATAGAAAATAGGAAATCAGAAACATTGTGGGGAAAGGTGATGAACTCATTTTTAGCAGAGGAGATTGTGAGCTCAAGAAAGAAGCCTCCTGGGAAGGTGGTTGTGGGAGTCCCCACCATAAGGGAGAGGTAGTCAAGAGGCGGCTTGTTGCAGTGAGATTGAGGAGAACCAAGTCCAAGAAAAGCTTTTGGATTTCGCTGTCAGGAGATCATTTATTACCTTTGAAAATGAAGACTGGGTCACCAGACTTCTAATGGCTCGTGAAGGTGGTTTTGGAAGAATTTCAGAAAGCCTAATGGAAATTTTACATAAAGCTAAATAACTACGTAAACAAACAAAAATGTCCCATTTCTGTTTCTTTTCCTGAAATCGTAACACTCCACTGTTGGTTTTTATGCAGACTCGAAGTTCTGATGTCCATTAACGTGTACTTGATTGATTTAAAGTGAGACAGTGCATTATTACCTAATCCTGCTTCTTCAGCCTTTTGAAAGCATTCACTTAAGTGTTCCTTGGAACATACTTTGGCAAATGTGTGAGATAATGATGTGAGGTTGCCTAGCAGCGGGCTCTGTGATGGGCAGAATGAGGCTCTTAGTCCTGAGATGTCTAGTAACTGTAACACTAATAGGTTACAGAGTGTTTCCATGTACGTTGTCTCATCTGGTCCTCTGCCACTTGTTAAAACTTCTCCCAGCTATCTCTAATTCAGAAAATAATTAGGCAGCCTCCTTTTCAACTTTGCACAGTCCTAGCCGTTAAGAGTTACTTTAGGATGGATCTGGAAAAATCCTGCACTGACTTTTCTTTGGCTTGTATTAAGAAAATTGAAATTGTGCTTTTTTTTTTAATGTCCATTGGCAAAAATCATCTCAGAAGGCATTTGTGCCATGTCTGTGGATTTATTTGTCTGTGTCACATTTGCGGCTATTTAATTCAGTTACCCAAAGAGCTATGATGCACTATTCATAATAAATATTTGAGGCTAAAAGTGGATTTTGACATGGATGCATTTATGACTCTTGCATTTCATGATGTACTTTTCATGGAATTGACTATTGTAATCTGAGTATCATTAACTGAAAATATAAAATATGAAAATCCTTAGAGTGTTTGTCAACATCCTGTGCTGCTTTAGCGCTTTAAACATAGACTTTTATGTTTAAACAATGAGAACTGTATGTGCAGTTCATGTTTTATAAGTATGTGTGTTTAGAAATTTCTCCTGAAATTAAAAAAAAAAAATTGTAAGCAAAACTAACCTGCATGGTTAATTGAACACTTTCCTAGGAGGACTCACGACACTCCATGCCAGAAAGTTGCTGAATTTTAAAAAAATTTTAAAAACAGACAAACATACCAACACAACAGACAATTAGGAAGGTAGTTTCACACTCAAATATGCATCAAATTTAAAACACCCTTTGTTAATCATCTCAGATAACTGGACATGCTGAAAGATAACACCGAGCAGCACCCTTTGCTAAATAGTTCCAGGTAGAGCCTTAGGACTTACCTGCCTTGTCCAAGGTGGAATAAGTGGCACCGGTGGAATCTAGTTCGTACATTTGACATTGAACTCCATTCACAAAGCCGCTCCACGGATTGGTTTTTGGCATCAGTTCGAGTGTTCCCATCTCCAGCAACTGCCGCCCTTTAGAGCCCCAGTGTAACTCAGAGAAGCGAGGATCATTCAGCTCCAAACTCTGAGGAGCATTTGGTGTCTTCAGCATCACGGGAGGCCGGCCAAGCTGTGCTCCAACCCAGTTTCAAAGAGAGGGCTTTCAAAGATACAGATGTCTTAGAGCGGAGCTCCTGCTTGAGGAGTCTCCCCCATGCTCCACTGTCCTAGGACTGGCCACGGGCTGTTTACAAGGAAGAGACCAGAAAGCAGAGCTTTGGCTCTCACTTTCTCCTTATAACTCCCAGACTCTTGGGGGTGACTTTGTTTCAGTACTGGGCTTGGGAGATATAGGGGCTGCGTTCCTGTCGGAAGGCACAAAAGACATGGAAGACAGAGCTCAGGCTGGAGCCAGAGAAGGAACAAAATGAAAGTCATGGCCGTCCCTGCTTTGGATGTAAAGGGTGATTTGATAGTGTTTGTTCTTCCTTATTTTGTTCAGTCCAATATATTTGAAGCCAAAGCTCTTTGTGATGAGTGTTCGACTTCGGTCCAACAGGACATCTCCTGGCTTAACTGAATGTTCCTCAACATAGCTATGTTTCTTATATCTGAAAAAAAGCATCCATTATTTTCTTTGAGAGTTAGGAATTGAGGCAAATTCCTTAGATGTAGAGGGACTTTTGACTCATGGCTTTAAAAATAATAATAATAATTGGTCTTCTTCACATATGTGTATATCCTAGATGGTGCCAAAGGTCCCAAATCACTAAGGGCATCCAGTTCATTGGCGGTGCAAGGAGGAAAAATTAAGCGGAAGTTTGTGGATCTGGGGTAAGCACTTCAAGATGTCAAAAGCAAGCCCTCTGTAAAAGTAGGATGAAAGGAGAAAATGTCAACTTCCCCTTTCTGACTGTGTGCTGTCATTATAGGGCACCGTTGCGAAGGAATTCCAACAAGGGAAGGAAATGGAAAGAAAAAGAAAAAGAAGCCAATAGGTTTTCTCCAAGTGGCAGGTACAGGTGGGGGATTAAGAACACAGATTTATCTCTGTATCTAAACTTTCTGGCACCTTCCATTGTTAATGGTGGTCAAAATCAGTGGTCAATGTCTTTGAGCTGAAGTCACATACCTAGAGATGAGATGAAGAAAATCGCACCGTTGATATTTGTCTTTCTTCAGTGAAAGCCTACACATGGCCGTGGGTATATCCATTAGCTGAATTTCAGAACGATGTTCTCATGAACAGTTTCAATAAATGTTTATCTAAATACAGCATAAATATATCTATGTGATATATGCTAAAACACTTAGACATATTTCAGCTTTGTTGCCTGGCTATTCACAATTCCACTGTCTTCTCTTTTTGTTAATTCTGCAAGGGTAATTTTGCATATAAGAATCTGTTGGCTTTCAAGCCTATTCTGTCCACATGCGTGTAAGAATGACCACTGTCTCCTGCTGGACTCAGCCCTTTCATTGATTGCAGGCCCTATCAACTATGCTGACTGTCCAGTAACAACTTTCCTATAGAGAAGTGAGCTTTCAACTGCATGTTGTCAAGTTTCCCCAATTTTATTCTGAGATTACATCATTTTAAACTTAGGCGTGTATGGGGGAGATGGGAAAGCATAGAGCGCTGAAGTCTGACTGCCTGGGACTTCAGAACTCTCACCTTTAAAATCTTGGGCAACTTATTTATTTAGCTTCTGTGTCTCCATTTTCTCATATGTGAAAGGAGGATAATAACAGTACTTACGTCGTAACATTAGTGTAAGGATTAAATGAATTTTCATATAAAGCATTTAAAATGGTATCTGGCACATAGGAGGTATTCAAAAATAATAATGAAGATAACAATTTGCTATTATTATTTTTGAGTTACAGGCAATTTTTATATTTACCATTTTATTTGATTCTTACAATAAGATTGGGAGGGCTGATAATAATACCATACTTTATTGATGCAGAACTTCACCTTGATAGAATTTAATTGATTAGCCCAGGATTATTCAATAAGCAATTAATGCCACTTAGCTGGGGCTTGTGCCTTCTGTCTAGATGTCTTTCCAACACTCCATGTCACCTTCACCTACTTATGCATCTGATGGTACTTATATTTCTTTATGAAATTTGGGGATCATCTCAAAACCATAGACTAAGGAAGAAACAAACAAAATGCTATGCACAAAAGACTGTAAAATCATTTGGGGACCATTTGTCCATTTCATAGGTTGTCCCTTGCTGTTTGTGTGTTTGTTTTCTTTTCTGGCATCAGCTTGGTGAGAAATTGTACCTTCTCCCTTGGATTACAGGAGAATGAGTTGGGGAGTGAGAAGAGAGAATTCTAAATTAATAATTTTTGTTAGCCTGGGTTTCCTTTATGCTGCAAAATGGGAAAAGGGTAGAAAGCTCTGTTTATACTGGGGACAAGTGTCAGGAAAAATAAGGCCATAATGCAACTCAAAAGAAATGTAACTTTGTGTGGCTTTGGAGTGAGAAATATAAAATATAAAGTCTACTTTGTGTCTTAAATAAGTTAAGAATAGAAAACTATCAAATATACTCAGGGAAAAGAGCAACAAATGACACTGAGAGAGAGAGAGAGAGAGAGAGAGAGAGAGAGAGAGAGAGAGAGAGAGAGAGACCGAGACCAACTGACTCAAATACAAAATGGGAGAGAAACGCGGACCACGCTGCTGAAGGTACACTGTCCTCCCTTTCGTCCCGGGACTTCTGAGGCAGTCCCTCCCTCTCACTTTTGAGGCTAAAAGGGATGTAATAAGCCCAGGCATTCAGCAGGGACAAGAAGGGCTGACTAAATTTCATCATAGTAGCCAGAGGGTGTCACTGCCTTGTGTAAATTCCAGATGAAAATCAAGCACATCTTGACTCCGGGTCCAGGCCGAAGCATGGGTAGTAGGTGTGGGCTGTCATCAGCGTGCTGCGTCACCACAGCCAGTGCCAACTTTTGAATCAGCAGCCAGCCAGGCTTCTAGCTTGGCTGCCCAGCCAGCTCTATGTTTTTAAAACATTCACTCTGGAGTCTCTTGGCTTCAGTAGTCACAGATCGTTCCACATGTACCAATGCTACAAAATAGTTTTGAATTCGAATCATAATTGTCAAATTATTTGTAATTACAGTAGAATTTTGGCAGAACGGAAAGGAATTTATGTAATTGAAATAGTAGAACAGGGAAGAAGAGGGGACTTTTTCTGTTTCTTGGTTAACACTAATCCCATCTAATGACAGCCTCTGTTCCCCTATGTACACTAGATGGACAGTGGATATTCCAGGAAAAACAGTTACTGCCCGGTAGTTGCTTAATGCAATCGAGTTGGCTTCGCAGGGCCCCTGAAGGTGGGTGGGTGAGCAGCACCATTAGCTGCAAATCCCCGCTGCAGTTGTAGAGAAGAACTGGGATAAACGCATCACCCCTGTGAGGCTTTCTCAGAAAAAGGAGGGAAGGATGCAGAGACTGAGTTAGGAATCTTATCTCCAAGACCTTTCTTCCAGTTCCTATAAGGTTGCAAAAATCTAGTGAGGCCATTTCCTCAGTTATAACCTGAGACTATGAGACATTAAAGAGGCAAGACATTTGATCAACTTGGTCTTGGGTTTAGTTTTTTTCCCTCCCAAAGAGTAAAAAGAGTTTATTGTATTCCTTGTGAAGACATAATGACTCAACTGCATGACCAACATGAAACAACTAGATGAGGTTAAAATAATAATAATTCATTAGGAAACCCTACAAAGTAATATGGTTTAGCTCCATTCTTTTCAAATACGTGCTCAGTGAACATTCTGATTTAAACCGGTAACGTGGCAGATACCAAAAGTAGGAAACTTTTAGTTGTCAGAGCTGATTCATCCCTTAAAGTACACACCAAAGAGTAAAATAAAGTACTGTCCCAAATTCTAGAGTAGGTAGCCACTGATGTCAGGGGGTTGTGTGCTTCGGAGCTCTTTGGGAGAAGCTCCCAGTTGAGTCACTGAATGGAAGGCCCTGTGAGCGGATCTGTGCATCTCAGAACCAGGCCAGTTGATGGCGTGTGGAAAGTGACAGGGAAGGGAGACGCAGTCCTCTGGGGAAGTAAATCTGCTTCACCCTGAAAGTGTCCACAGTGGAAAAAACACTGAGCTGGAACCAAGTATTCATGCTGACGCTGCCAGACATAAGTCTCTGGATTCCTTGGACCTTGGTTTCCTACGAAAAAGTCAGTGAGGTGGACTTAAACTGCCTGGTCTCTAACTGCCCATCCATCTCTATCTGCACTGTCCAGTGTGGGGCTCTAGTCAGATGCGGCCACTGGGCCCTTGAAATGTGGCTAGCCATCTGAGAAAATGCCTGCTGGATTTCAGCGACTTAGTCTGAAAAAAAAAAAAAGAATGTGAAATATCTTATTAATAATTTTATAATGCTGAATACTTGTTGAAATAATGTTTTGAGGATTTGGGGTGAAGGAAAATGCATTATAAAAATTAATTTTACCTTTAAATGTTTTTTTCATGTGGCTACTAGAAAATTTTAATTTACATAATGTTTGGTTTCTAACTATTTAGTTGATCTGTAAATTAGCATGTATTCTTGTTTATTTTTTAAAATCTATTTGTACTTTTTTTGTTTCAAATATGATTTGTTTATATATAAAAGTATGTATGATACAATATAGTTTATTTTAAAAGTAAATTGGATAGGGAAAAATAAGATAAAGGAAAAAGTAAAGTTGGTACTTAAAATAGAACATCTTCAACCTTAATAGTAAGTATAACAGTGGCCTTCAGTGAAAGCCGAAAGCATAATGTCAAAGTGGTTGAGAGCCTGGGTTCAAATCCCAGCTGTGCCACTTATCGTCTTGGGTAAGTTACTTAACCTGTTTGTGCCTCAGTTTCCTCATCTGTGAAACAGAAACACATGCATACATCACATACCTCTTTAGGTCATTGGGAGGATTGAAAGAATCCCATTTATGCACATTTTAAGTCCTTAATATAAACAGCTATCATTATATTTAACGCAGTTCTAATCACAGGGATATAAAACAAGGTATTCTCTGGATGTATCTTGCTGGCAGTCTTGTTCATCCAAGGGTGACTTTGGTAATATCTTGACGAATGAATGGGCTGTGTGGTTTATAGTTCAGACAGCCCTTCATAGATGTTGTTCCTCTCAAAGAAGCTGTAGACAAAAGGGTGGAATTCCAGTGAGTTTGAGATCCGACCCTGTCCTGTGGCTGAGCATGGGCAGCAGCTGCGCTCCTAAGCTGGAGTGGAAATGCCTTTCAGAAGACTTAAGGGGCTGGTGGAGCACATGTGCAGAAAGACAGACACCTCACCTCTGCCCAGACCTGGCACACAGGAGCACCCAGAGCGGAGCTACAACTGTCCTTTAAAAAAAGCTTTTAAGGGGCCTGCTGAGTGGCTCAGTTGGTTAAGAGCTCGCTCAAGAGTGCGAGCTCTGAGAACAGCGGTTCAAGTCCCGCCCAAGCTGAGCTGCCGCTGAGCTGCCAACAGGTGGCAGGATGGCTCAGCTTAAAAAAAAAAAAAGTTTTTAAGAAACAGAAAACACAAATGAAATTGTAAATGGCCAGCAGAGAATAGCCATTAAAAGAAGGCAAATTAATTACAGCCTAGAAAGTTTTAAGGAAGACATTACCAAGCCACTGTGTGGCCATGAACAACGATGACAAAAACTCAGCAAAACACCTGTGGACGCCTAACTTTGGCAATATAAATTCTATGGGTTCTCCCCTTCACTTGACATTTATAATGGCCAAAGGTAACTATGTTCTTAAAAAGAGAATTATTAGGGTTATAAATTAAGAGTAAGTTACTGAAGTCTCCAATTCTAAAACCTAGCTTTTTTTGAGGTTCAGTTCAACTTACAAATCTTATTGTTTTGTTTATACCTCTGGTAAAATGTTATATAAAATAAAAGCAGTCACCTTCACAGAGACCTTTGAATAATGTTTGCTTAGCCTCAGTACAACAGACTCGTTTCCTCATAATTATCTG